CATTGATTCGTTCGTGGTTGTTCATCCTGTTCACATCTTCGCTTTCACACGCATGGCGGCGAAAACGTGGGGTTGTAGCCTCGTCCGAGCAAGGGAGGTGTACACAAAGGCAATTGGTGTGGAAGTGGCCTACGGAGCGTCCGCGTACCACACGCCAACGAAGCCGCTCGGGGAACCACGCGGTCTAGCGAAGGCGCTTGACACGACCCAGACCAACTGCTTGAAGGTTGTCTCTGGCGCTTACAAGGCCGCGTCTACGTTTAGTGTGGAGACGGAGACCTTCTGCCCACCCCTCGACCTCTACCTCAACAAAAGGGTTAGGGCGTTTGAGGAGCGACTCGCTCTATTATATAATCACGTACGATGGTTATTGTAATTGCGGCGGCCTTCGTTAGAGGAACGCCAGCTTGGGTGGCAACAGAGTTACAGGGTAGAAGGGGAGGTAGACAACTACAGCTGCCCCCGGTCAGCGGCCGAGCGAAGGCTGAGTGGGCTGAGCGATGGGCCCCTAGACAAGACATCCCGATACCGCAGGGGGAGGTGAGAGAGCCCACGTCGGGTGAAAAGAAACGGTGGTTAGAAGCGGCAACTCGGAAAGAGTGGATAGCGAGGTGCCATGTTAGGGTGGCCGAGGAGATGAGCAAAAGGAAGAAGCTGAGTGCCGCAGAGGCGCGTGCGCGGTTCGATGGAGCCACGCTGCAGTACCACACATGGCCCAGTACAGATGAGAAGTCATCTCCGCACTACCTCTGGAGGATATGAGCTCACTCCTGGTGCAAATCAGAACGGGCAAGATAGGCTTACGGGCGTTCCTCTTCAAGAGAAGAGTGCCGGAGGTGACAACACCGTACGGCCGGTGCGGGTTAGCGAAGGAGACGTTCGAACATATTGTCTTGGAATGTAGAGAAACGGAAGGCACATGGTTATGGGGAGACCCAACGTGGCCGACAAACATTGAACAACTCCATGACGAATCGAGACAGGGGCGGGGGCGGAACGAATCCTTCGCTGGGCATTGCGACTGGGACGACTGCAGGAGTACAAGCTGGCAGTGAAGATCGAACAAGCAAAGGAAGCAGAAGAGCCACTAGAGAATTCAGATTGATCTTTTATTCTGGATTCTGGAGAGCGGGAGTACGGTCGGGAGACAACGCAGCGGGATCAAAGATCGGGCCTCGGGAATGATGGTGAGGTCATACCAAGAGGAAGATAAACATCGAAGGCACGGCGTCAACAAGGCGTCCGTGCAACAGAGAAGCGGAGGCTTTTCATCCGGCTACGGTACGGTTTTTCCCACCGACTAAGAACGGAGGCAGTACCGCATACCCACTGGGTAGGCTATGTACATAGTTTAGCGTGATAAGACAATATATAAATATATATATAGGCATTTTATATTGTGTATTTCTATAGGTTCTGGGAAGCTCTCTATTCCTGGTTCTTTTTTAATATTTTGGCGTGCTCTTTTATTCGATTTTAAAAAGAAGCTACTTTTATTTTAATTTATTACCGGTAGAATGAGTGTTACTTCTAGTGCTATTCCTTAATACGGGTTATATTCTGACCCTTCATTTCATAATTGTAAATTCAATATTGATAGAGTTAGGACGGTAACTACGTTAATATTCATAGTCATTCATTATACAATTACTATATAATTATTGATTTTGTAATAAAAGTAGAGACTTTATACACAACGTTTATTTCCTTTTTTTTATCAATACTTATTTGGCGCATCTTTCGTTTTGATTCCTTAAGTTTTTAGTTTTGGTACAGTTTATTATTTGTCACACGGACATATGCCACACTCCTGGTGTCATACGAGAAAGACCTACATGTATGCAGATCACTAGGTACCTTGGAGCCTCAGGCGACAAGGACCCGTACGTACTGGATACGTACCGTTTCCCTTTGGCATAAGAAGGCCTTGAAGCCCAGCCTTCCCTTAAAGGTTGAGATGATCAACAAGGCCTTCGAGACCAAATTAGTTTATTAGCTAAATTGAACTACTGTTCCAAGCCCAGAACACCGCCCTTGTCACATTATCATATATATATTATCATTATCATCTTTAGGTAAGTCGGTAATGGGAGTAGTTGTTGAGCGAAGGATGGAGTTTTAATAGACGCCGATGTTATTATTATAGTATTTATGACTTTTTAAATATATACTATAGAGTTCTTTGCTTCTTTTAAATTTGATAGTAATATTTTCAATTATTCAACGTAGCCGTCCTATGATTTGGGTATGCGTATTGGAATTACTTAGTCGTACAAAGTATTGAATATAGAAGTCTCGAATTAAACGAGTTTGGAATTGCCTTTTTAAAAGAAACTTCTAATTTTAGTGAAAGGAAATTCAAAGGTAGAGAATTAATTAGATAGGGTTTACTTTTTCTTCTAGCGGATTAAATATAATGAAGTAAGGGCAACGCGTTTTTCGTTCTCGTTATTAGAAAATACTTTTTAAATAGGAAAAAACCCCTTTTATGATCATACTTATTTGCTGCAATGCCCTAGCTGGCCTATAATAATAGCACCAGTATAGAAATGCTACAGTGAACTATGCGCTTGTAGCAGAGCGGAGCGGAAGCGGTAGGAAGTACGACAGCAGTGCTAAAGGAAGCAGCGTAACAGCAAAGCCAAGAGAGGGATGTTGTAAAAGAGGTCTTAGAGAGAACTCTGCTCTCAAGACAGAAGAGCAGAGTGGACTCTGCACTGTGAGTAACAACTATTATGATGAACTCTGCACTATAGGAGTAGACTGTATTGTATTGCTTTGATTGTGCTTGCTTGCTTGCTTGCTTAAGGAGTGACTAACTAAAGGAGAGAAGAGATCTTTATATACACGAACATTGCTTAAGTATCTAGAAGCTCCCAGAGTGTAGAAGCTTCTGTAAGTTGATAGGAGTGCTTGTAAGAGCACGATACCATGAAAGGAATGAACTGAATCTATGAGCTTGTGGTGCATTCCATGATGACAAATTAGTCTAGAAGGAATGCTGAACAAGTTAGAGAATCCCATAATACAGTGAAAAAACCTCTGTATTCTAGCACGTTGTGTGGGGGCTGAGTGGACTGATTCCGTAGAAGAAATAGTTCAATCAGCCTTCTATACTACAAGGTAGTACAAGGTAGTTACAAGGCACAGTACTAGCCACACGTTAACAATACTAATTAAAAAGCTCGTTGTATTTTTAAAAAGCTTTTACTTCTAGTATTCTCTCAGTAGAGTGTTGTTATTAATATTAATTATTTTACTTCATTAGAGGTAATTATACCTATTTCCTTCTTTTCTCAAGCCCACGGCCACGCGAGCGCCTGACCTAAGAGGCTTTTTCCCCGCACTTATGTACCTATGCCCAGCCGCCGTCGCGGGCACGACTTATTATCTAGTATTGGTAGAACGTGGTCGAAAAATTCATTTATTCATTCATTCAATCCTTCTTTTCTTCGTAAGAAGCTTTAATTATTTTTAGTGAGAAATTGAAAGTAAACGAAGTTCTGTTCCATTTCAATTAGCGGATATATTTGTGTTCTGGTGGGGTCTTTCCCACCTCCATTTACTGACATTGTCATGTGGGTCCACCAGCCCGCACCACTATGTGTTCTTTAGCCCTCCACATTTCTTCTCCTTTCTTGTCTTCCTAGTTTAGCACAATCAACACACTTCTTGTGCCCACGAACCCAAGAGGTTATGAGCCCTCTGCACGCAATCGCATCGTATCGCGTTGCTGCGTGCAGCGATCACAAGTACTGAGAACCCAGAGGCAAAGAGACAAGCAACACCGAGTGCGAGTCAACCCAGAGAACAAGACCCCGCGTCGTCGCAATATCGAGTGCGTGTCGCATTTAAGCACCAAGATCGAGACAAGATTGCCAAGCGACAAGAACACAAGACGAGACATTTCACCCACGAAGATTAGAACATTCAAGACCCCGCGACAAGCTTTCTATTTTACAACAACAGAGATCCCGACAAGATGTCTTTCAACGCCGCCACCTTAATTCCCCTTTAAGGGTGAGAGCAACCTTGATGCCTGAGCCTGCGCCCTCAAGGTTGAGCTCGCCTCCCAGGGACTCAAGCTCTATGTGACCAAAACTATTCCCGAGCCCAAGGTCAATGGCAAAACTAAAGATGAGGACGAGAAGCGCGTTCATCAGTGGCACATGGACCGCGCCAAGGCCATGGCCATTATTCATTCCACCATTCGCGATGAGAAAGTCCAGTCCGTTTTGTCTATCAACGGCTGGGACGAAGACAACGACGATCCGAAGTATTTGTTCAACTTCATTAGGAACAGTATCTCCAGCGTCACCAACGAGGCCAAGAGCGATGTCCTCGACGAGTATCAAACCATTAAGTGTTCCTCTTTCACTAACTTGGAGGCCTTCCACATGCGCTGGCAGACTTTGCGCAAGCGTGTCAAGGACGTTGGCTACATCATCAACAACGAGGTTGAGCTTACCAACCTCTTCAACGCTGTTAAGCGCTCTTTTCCCCATGAAGCCATGTTGTGGGCTGCGGATATGAACAAGAATGAATTGACAACCGTGTCCTTTTTGGCCAGACTCTCTACATTGGCCAACACTCAGAAAAACTACACCAACATGGTTGCCGTGAAGGTGGAGGTCAAGACCAAGGAGACTAAAGAGATCAAGACTGAGAGCAACGGAGATGAGCGTGTTGCCTGTAACGTCTGCGGCAAGAAGGTCTACAAGGGTTTGAAGCATTTNTTTTGGCCAGACTCTCTACGTTGGCCAACACTCAGAAGAACTACACCAACATGGTTGCCGCGAAGCTGGAGGTCAAGACCAAGGAGACTAAAGAGATCAAGACTGAGAGCAACGGAGATGGGCGTGTCGCCTGTGACGTCTGCGGCAAGAAGGTCTAGAAGGGTTTGATGCATTTCTCCTGTGGCCATCATCGCANAAAACTATTCCCGAGCCCAAGGTTGATGACAAGACTAAGGACAAGGACGAGAAGTATCTGTTCG